GGAAGTGATTTTACCTACCCTCATCACCGTCGTCCGGTCACGATTGTCTGATAGTGTTTTATTTTTCATTTTTTTTTCTAAAAATTAGAATGATCTAAAATTTGGATCGTGTGTTTAGGTGAATCTATGAAAAATATCAAAAAATATTTCGCATGAAATAAATTGACTAAAATACCTACGAAATATTCAGCGGTATTTTGGTCAATATTATTTTTGTGAATTATTTGTTCTATATTTTTATTAGGTGCACCTTACAATAATGTAAATAAGCTCCAAATTTAAGCTCATTCCAATTCATAGAAAAATAAATAAAAAATAAAATACTACTAGACAATCGTGACCATGCGATGAACTACTAGCATTAAAATAGGAAATCACAATCACACATAGTGGATTGTTATTGATATATCATCAAAGGATGGAAACATTGAAATAAAATTTCAAAATAATAAATCACAAGATGACTCAAACATAAATAGGAATAGGAAAAGGATTAGGAAGCCATTAGTTCGAGCAAGAAAATCCTGTCATACAACCCCAGAAGTTATCATTCTTCCTTCTCCATCAATACCTACAACCTCTTCAGACTTACAGATACAAGGTGTAAAAAGAACAGCTGATCATGTAGTAATACCTACTTATACATCTGAACCTAACATATCAGATTTCCAAATACTCACATTACAAGATGAAGAAGATATAAACATAGAAGAATATCTAGAATATAAATTAAAACAAAAGAATAAAAAAGTAGATATTGAATATCTAAAACAGGATTATCTAGCCCTAGAAAACCAAGGTATTAGAGAATGGTATCTCAAAACATTTCAACCTAGATTAATAGAATTATTTCATAAAAAATACAATAAATTTTTGAAAAAAGAAAGAGAAACAAAAAGGATTCTTTATCTGGTTACAAAAAATTTGTGCCCAATATAACATCCACATTCCTCAATTTCATATTCAAACAATTGAAGAAAAAACATATATAAGCATCGATGGAACTAATACTTCTAGTACACATCCACCTGAAAAAAGTACTATCTTGAAAGGTGCAAAAAGTCCACGTGTAAAAGGTGAACCACCACAATCCCTATATGACATTATTGCAACACCTTATAAGTTTGTACCCAAAGATATAGGCAAAAAACATGAATTAATTCCGCATATTGTGGAACAAAATAATTACACCAACCTATATATGCAGTCATTAGGAAAACAAGCTGAAAGAATAGAAAGGCTGGTCACTCCTCAACCCAAGGGAGGAAACCCTCCTATTCCTAAAGTTGTTTTACTCAAACCTCCTCCAGAACTTAATAAAACCAAATTTTATTTAGGCGAAGATAATAAAACACTCATGGATCAATTAATACCTAAATTAGCCCATTTAGATATCAAAGGAATTCCTTCTCCAAAACTGAGTATTCCTACACCAATACCTAGCATTTCGATACCTTTACCCAATATTCCAGAAACATCTGATAAAGACAAAACGAAGATTCCT